TGATTCAGGTCGAGAAATGTCTTAAAAGATTAAAAAAAAAATTAAGACAAATGGAGGTTTTTTTCCCAATCTAAAATGTATGATCAGAAAATCTTCCATAAACAAAACCTATGAAGGCCCAGGACACAGACTGTAACAAACTACCTGCAGCCTCCCATTATTCACTGCCCTTTTCATCCTGAGTAACAGAACCCAAATTTAGTTGGCCAGGGCAAACCAGAAGAAATGACTATATTTTCAAGCCTCCCTTGTAACAAGATATGGCTGTGTTCTAACCATAGAGAAATAGGTGACAACTGGATGAGTCTTCTAGGAAATCTCCTTTAAAAGACAATCAGGGTAACTATCGTTTGTACCTCCTGAAGGAGACTGTTGGAACTCTCACATTGACAAAGACCCACCAGACAGACAGGCCTCTAATCCCTGACAGCAATGGAACTACTACAGAAACCCTGTGCTGCCTGCTCTGACTTCACATGTGCTTTTTCTACTGACTTCTAGTATTAAATTGTAGAATTATCCAAATATAGCTCTTCAAACATCTAGTAACATAAACAAAATTCACCTAAGAATGCACCCACCAGACAGCTAATTCCACGCATGGCATGAAAAAATATTTGAGGCAGATGTTTAAGGCAGGGATACTGATTCAATTCTTGCGGCATTCCACTCACATTCAAGAACTGTTCCTGAAATTTGGGAGCAGAGCTTATAATGGCTGAGTTACTCAAGTCCACAGGATTGCTAGTGAAAAAGAGAAAGAATTACACGTTTAGAAAGTTCTATAGCAATAAATATATGCTATCCAATTTAAAAACAGGATTGTGTCTGTTTCTTTGATGCAGAGAGGGGACTGATTTGTATTTGATGAGCTAGGGATTCAAACATGAATATTTCTCCACAGATGTGCAGGTTTGTTTGTATGCTATAAAGGAACTTACTCTTTACAGAATGAGAATCAAAGTTAAGATTTAAATGGTTTAATTTTAAAGAGTATATATGGGGGCTGGAGAGATGGCTCAGCGATTAAGAGCACTGGCAGCTCTTGTAGAAGGACCAAGTTCAGTTCCCAGTACCCATATGATGGTTCACAACTGTCTCTAACTCCAGTTCCAAGAGATTTGATGCCCTCTTCTGGTCTCCACAGGTACTGCATGCACACAGTATATTTACACACATGGCGGCAAAATACTCATACACATAAAAACAAATAACTCAAAAAAAAAATTTTAAGAGTATATATGAACACTGTTTTCTAATGTTTGGAATTAAGAAACAGAATAGTGAAACTAATCATGACAAGAACCTCATGAAGAAAATGTTAATATAAACATTTGCTTAAGAAAACTAAGTACTCATATGCATATACCATCCCACAAATACACACTTAAAAATAGCAAATCTTTACAAAAAATATTTTAAAAATCAAAGATTAGTGTTTCAGTTTTATATTATGTTCACATACAGATATTAAAGATAATAATTCAAACAATGCATTTGGGATTGACTTATATTTTATATATAATTAAAATTTTAAGTTTTCCATTGAAAAACAAATTTAGATTTCCATTCAAAATGTGCTTAGTTGCTAATTAAACAGCTTCTCTTAAAATAATACTGATAATCTACAACCACTAGAAAGAATTTCTACTGGCGAGAAGGCAAAGAACTAGGCTGAAAAATACAAATCTGTAGTTTATATACTCTAGCCTTTGAAACCTCTTCTCCCATCCACCAAGACTCTAAGTGTCACACATCCCTTAGTGGCAAAGGGGAACACGTGTGTATGTTTAGAAAACGGGCTTCAAGGGCTGAAGAGATGGCTCACTGGTTAAGAGCACTGGCTGCTCTCGCAGAGGACCTGGGTTTGGTTCCCAACACCCACATGGCTGCTAACAACCATCTGTAACCCCAGTTCCAGGAGATTCAATGCCCTCTTCTGGCCTCCATAGGCACTGTATGCACATGGTACACTTGCAGGCAAAATACTCATAAGCATAAAATAAAAATAATTAACTTTTTTTCCAGAAAACAGGCTTGTAGCATACTGTACCAACAAAATGGGAATTCATCATAAGGGATATAGGTAAGAAATCTCTAGCAGCACTGCCTGTTGGGGGCTGTAGTCCATCTGTTCAGAAATTAGAAAACCATGCATGAGGTCAGACACAGACTATACCTCAGTTCAGGAGAGCTCTGCTAAATTCATATCTATTCAATTTTGAAAACTAGAAAGAGACAGGCTTATATCACCTCTTCTAGAAATGATTTTACTTGCATCCAAATGCTCAAGAGAACAGATGGGAGAAAATAAGTAAAACCTGAAATGAAAATGGGTAACAAAGGATACAGAATATAAAACAAATATCCCCACAGATTCTGATGCCTTGTATGTCTGACACATTTTTGGTTATCTGCTAAAAATCTAATTTCCGTCAGAATTTACTGAAACAGAATGTCTAGGTAAAGCCTCAAGGAAAGACGGTCATACACAAATTAAGCATTTAAGAACAGCACTAGTAAAACTCAATGGAAATTTCTTTCTAGGAAAAAGATGAAGCATTTGGTATATTTCACATCATACTGAAACAGAATGTCTAGGTAAAGCCTCAAGGAAAGACGGTCATACACAAATTAAGCATTTAAGAACAGCACTAGTAAAACTCAATGGAAATTTCTTTCTAGGAAAAAGATGAAGCATTTGGTATATTTCACATCAAATTCAGGCCCTTTCCCAGGAAATTTGTACTTTGGCAACTTAAAAAAAAAAAGGAGAGAGAGAGAACTTCTCACCCCCTTTAATACTCTGTTGTGTGAAAGTTGTATGTTCTTTAAGGGTATAAACAAATGAGCAGTAAAACCCTAATTCTGGAATCTTTTTAAAGAGATAATTATTGGAAGCCTGGTATAATGGTACATGCCTATAATCTCAGCACTTGGGAAACGGGGGGTAGGGGAAATCACAAGTAATCCTCAGCCCTGCTTCTGACCCACTCATGGCTTACT